TCCTCTGATTCCCTGGCTCACATTACAGGGCACCTTGAAGGAAAAGGACTTGTCCAAGCAAACCCATTTCACGGATCCCGAGTCCAGTGAACCGAGCTCCTGAGTCCATTCCAAAGCTCCAAAACTTGAATTGCCTCCAGGGCTGGGTGGGAACTGTGGTGAACTGGGAACCTCCACTGCTTGGCTTAAAGGGATCTCTAGAACTCAGCTCAACCCAGCTGATGCTTGCAGGGAACACAGCCATCTGACACTGCAGTAGAAGCTAGAGAGCTAGGCTCAGTATCCAGACAGGTCATTTCTGAAATGGATAGGCTTGCCAGATGAAATATTTTATATTTGCAAATCTGGCAACCTCAGGCTGCGGGTCACCTGGCACATCCCAGGGGATGACCTGGAGTGACCTCTTGCACACTTAGCCCTGGGAGGGTGGAGCTGGTCTGCATCTGTAGCTTAACTCAGGGCTGGGAAGCCAGGCTGCCTCCATCCACATGACTCTCATGACTTCACTATTTGTTTCAGAAAATTTTTACCCAGAAAGATAAGGTAAGTAAAAATATTTCATCAGAAACTTACCCAAAACTAATATTTCTGAACAGCACACTGATCAAACAATCCCCCCTTTTAGGATAACATGGCTCAACTAGGGAAACTGCTTGCTCACCAAAAACCCGTTCCTTTGCCGAGACAGCATCAAAGTAGTCCAATTCCGAGCCCATCCCCATTGTAAAAGATGCACAGTATCTGCCTCCTTTCCTCCGTGGGAAATGCTAAGACTCTCAAGGTGTGCTTCCCCCGCTCTGCAGTAGGGAATAAACCTGACTTTGCTTGACCGACAGAATATCCCGATGGGCCTTCTTGTCAACAGTTCACATGGCTTCACTTTTCCTCATAGCATTGTGAGCTGGACACTAAATTATAAATTATTTATTGTTTCAACCTCATTCAGCTAGAGGTAAGCTGTCCACAGGCTGAGGACGTTTACATTCTGAGACTCACCTGTACCTGGGAAGGGTCTCACTCAGGTGGGCATTTCTGAATAACACCAAGTGGGAAACTGGATGGTCAGATGGATGCTGACCATGATGTCCACTGTGCTTAGGCAGTTTTCTCTCTCAAGAGACTTACTTTGAGGTAAAGATGGCTTGGACTCCGTCCTGACAACTACAAAAATGTTCTCAGCCAGAGGAGGGAAGGAGGGAGTTGTGATCCGCTCTGTGCTTTAGAAACACCTGCAGGCGACCGTGGTGGGTTTGTGTAAGGGGTCCTGTGAAGGAGCCGAAAGCCTTCATCCAAGATGGCACAAGGTAGTGAACTTGTTCTAACCCCCCTGATGTGGTAAAGGGAGGAACATGCCTCAAACCTGAAGCCACTGTCATTTTAGGATGGTGAAATGCAACATGCTTTTGCTTCCAAATAAATTAATTCATGGCACATATTTCCCTGCTTATCGGAGATATTTCCAAAGTGAGTATTATGCACAGCCACACTTGATGTCTGAAAAGATCAGGAATCATAGAAGAAGTCACGAAGTTGAAGGCCTCCTCCTAGGAAGTGGTCTGCACCTTTGAGTTCAACTCACACCGCAAAGTCCAAAGGTTTCCAGGACTGTGAGTTCTAACTTGTGCTACATGTCTTTTGTTTTGTTTCGTTTTCTTCTGTCAGATAAAACGCAGAGGGGAGGCACATATCAGGGTAAGTGGCTTGTCATTCTCTTTCTAAACAACCCAGAATATTTGTACCGATTATCTGAATATTCCAATGGGATCTGTTTTGTCCAGATAAGTATAACTGACTGGTTTAGGTAACTAACCTATTAATCTTAAGATTGGTCTGAACTACCACTCTATTCTGGGGGTAGAGTTAACGAACTCTTCATTAAAGAGGCAGGGCCTCTAGGACGAGTAAACATTCACAAGGACCTAGTAACCAGGAAGAGAGAGCGTGGAGAGAATATTTTAGGTCATGTGCAACATGCCAAGCTAGTAATGCATTCAGAGAGACTGAGAGCTTCAAGACCATCCATCTGTGTGGCTGATGCAAGGAAGGAAGTTGACTGTCCTTAGCCTTTATAGGACCAGGACTTAACAAGACCGATGGCCATTCTGGAGATAGCTTGTCACGTGCAAAATGCCCTCTTGATGATGGGTCAGTAAGATCATCGCTCCCTGTCTTTATGTGCAATCTCACTTACCATGGAAAGGTTGACTACACCAGAAAGAACCAAGGGAGGAGTATGTACTTATAAATTGGGCCTGGTTCCCTCTGGCCATCCAGATACTCCAAATCAAACACCTGGCTGGCAGATGTGTCCAGCTGTAGCAGGTCCTCTTAGAACAGCTGGACACAAGGTGCTTATGAGTGGGGAGGGAGGAGGGAAGGGGGCAATCATTAAGGTGTGGGCAGACAGCACTCTGAAGTCATTAAGCACTTTGTTTTCTCCAACCTCCTGCAATCTCAGGACCTTGGAACATTCGGATGAAGGATGCCAGTTTTGTCCCGTATTTTAATCAGGCAGATGTTGAGGCTGGAAAAGCCATCTTCTGCCGGTAAGTGATTGTTCCCAAACACATGCTTGGCAGCACCTGAGGCTCTCATCTGGGTCTCTCAACAGTCTGCACTGGCCAGGTCCACAGAGGGTGGGCGGAGGGGCAGGTGGACCCTTCCTTTCTGATTTGGCAGGCCAGTCTGAATCCTTCTCAGCCAGGCCCACGCCAAAGAGCCTACCTAATACACAGAGGCCTCAGCAGTGGGCAGCTGCCTGGTCTCCATGGCCCTCAGTGCTGACCTTCTTCCATGCCACCAGGATTCCCCAGGCACAGCTGGTGCCCAGGAGGCATTAAATAAAAACCGGAATGAATGAAGGAACAAGCAGAGGCACCATATTCCAGCCACCAGGCAGTTAGTCAGCAGCCTCTCTTGTTTTCTTTGGGGAATAGCAGTTTGAAACACAATTGTCACCAACATTCTTCTTCCCAGAGTTTCCTGGCACCCCCTGGCTCTACTCCTTTCCCTCAGCTAAAGCACTCCAGGCCTATGGCCTCAGGGAAGGGAGGACACAGAGGAACTTGGAGAACAAAGGAATAAAATTTAGATTTTTGAGTCCCTAAAACTGAGGCTCTAAAGGATCTCAGGACATGAAAGAAAATAGGGGAACTGCCTAAACTGCTTGTTCTCCTCCACCCCACATCCAGGGCCAGCATCAGACCATTTAGGGACGTGGCCTGGACTGGAAGGGGAAGCGGCTCCAAGCTGCCGGGGAGCCCAGGGAAAGACGCAGGGCATGCCCTCCGAGCATGTGACACCTCCAACCCTGGGGCACATCCCCACATCCCTGGGGCTCCCAGGCCAGGGGACTGCTCCTGACCTCACGCTCCTCTCTCCCAGCCCTGCAAAGCAGCAGGACCGTGGGCTTCCCCTTCCTAGCCTCGCTGTTGCTGAAAAGAAGAAAACCTCCGAGAGACCACAGACAGAAAGTCCAGCAGAAGGAGGCTCCCTGCCCCGGCAGGCTTGTCTGGGTGAGGCCAGGGAGCTGCCAGCTGACTCCAAGGTGACCTTCCCTGGAATGAGGGGGCCCACAGCACTGACTGGTCACAGAGAACCAGGCGCCCTGGGTGACTCAGAGACTGCCGGCATGATTAAAACACCAACCCGACTCTGCAGCCTTAGGTAAGCTCTAGAGGAAAGTAGAGAGAGACACTAAATTCACTGAAAGTTCACACCTATCCAGACTGGCAGCTTCTGACAGAAATGAAATTTGATTGCACAACTGAACTCCGAGGACTGAAATTCATGGCCCTTACTTCCCATGATCCAAGAACATAAACAATGGCCTTTTCTCATATCCACTCAGGGCCCAGCTGGAAAGAGAAACCAGGGCAGCGGGCACTGAGTGGACACCGCAGGGTAACTCCAACAGGCTCCAGGGGACACCGGCATTGTGGGGTGGGCAGGTCCCTGGGGCTTAGCATCCACAGCAAGGAGAACAGTGGAGCCAGCAGCTTAATCCTTGTCTTCTGTGCCTGCTGCTGCTGCTTCCACGGAAACTGGACCTTTGACATTAAAAAAAAAAAAAGCCTTCAAAATAGAAAGAATCATGGGTTTATGAGTATTACATGGGATGGCTTTGAGAAATGGCATCTTCTGAAGGCCCCATGGTTACGACTGAGGTGTTTCCTCTACACACACCTGGGCCTTCTGACTGCAGGTGTATCCCATGACTTTAGCCCAATCCTGAATGTTCCAAGGGCAGAGAATTCCATGAGTCCCACCCCTACAGGTAAAAAGATTCCGCAATGTTATTAGGCCCTGCCTGTGCCTGTTACCACCTGAATCTGTTTCCACCTGTATCTGGTTCCTTCTCTGTGTGTCCAGATTGGAAAATATCAAACAAGCTTTGAGTCCTGCCTGTCTCATGTGGAAGCAGCATGCCTTCGGAGTCAGCTTCCTCATCTGCACAGCAGGGGCAGGAGTCATGCACACCTTACAGGTTTCTTGTGAGCCTTAAATAAGCTAATGCATACCAGCAACCAAGCATCGTGCCAGGCATGTTGCAAATAATTGAATAAATGTTACACACACACACACACACACACACGGCAATAGCTATTACACTACATGTATGCATTATTTAATACAATCCATATCCTATTTTCCTCCCTAGAGGCAAGTCTCCACACAGTTTTAGAAAACTGCCATTGCTCATCAGTTCCCTGTCTGAAAAGCTAAGGTACCTTTACCAGAGGCTCTGTAAGCTTTCTATCACTGTGACAAAAATATCTGAGAAAATCAACTTATAAGAAAGAAAGATTCACTTTGGCTCACGGTTTCAGAGGTTTTAGTCCATGGTAAGTTCTCATGGGGGCACTGCCAAGCACAATGACAGTATTCTTGGTCTCTAAGACCCACTGCAGGCTGGACACTGACCCTTCGGCAGCCCCACAGGGAGAAAATTTCTCCATTTTAAAGAAAGGGTACAAGATAGTTCAGTGACTTACCCAGGGCTCTGCAGCTGCCAGGATTTGGTGAGCCTGGGGTTTGAGCCCAAAAGCCTGATCAGAAGCCTGCTGTCCCTTTTCTCCCTTACTCTGTGGTTCTTAGCAGAGCTGTATCACTCCCTAGGGAACTGTTCTGGAAGTTTGCCGTGATGTTCTGATTGTCATAATAACTGGATGTTCTAGAATTCAGGGGCCAGCCTTCCACAATAAAGATTCCATGTGCCTCATTGCCTTGAGTGCTCTGCCTGGGTCTGATGTGCTCAGAAACATGGACCTCTGACATGAAAAAAAGCCTTCAAAATATCTCCTTTACTATCTCTACATCTGAGCCTCGACCCCAACTCAGTTTCACATCTAGATGGAAAGTATGTCTTGCACGGGTAATTCTCTAGAAACTCAGCTACAGTCCAGTGAGAGAGAGGTAAGTGTACTTTGTTTTCTCTGTAGCCTCACTGTGAAGGGGGCAGGACTTGTGGTTGTGGCGAGTATGCACACACAGGTAGCAGCATGGCGTTTGCAGAGATCCTGGCTACTTCATTCTGTCCTCTGCGGTTATGACCAAGACACTTACACATTCAGACCCCTCTTGGCCCACTATAAACCCCTTTCCTTGTATTTCTTTATATTACAGTTGCATCACTCCATGGATATTTTGGTAGCACGTTGGCAAACACATTATTTTTCCACGAGTTTCATTTTGAGATGGTAAAGGAACTATTACAATTTTTCATGGAAAAGAAACCTTAGGTGGGATAGGACGGAGGCATCTTTCAAAGCCTCCAGGTCCATTGTCTTTGCTTCCTCACCCAGAAAAGAAAAAAAAAGACAGTTAAAAGGTCCCAGGAAGCAAGTCCTGGCTTGCATTTCCCCTTGCCACTGAGCCTACCGAGCTTCCTCCCTTGTTAACCCCGCCCCCTTTGGTCTGTGGCTTCCCCTCTTCTCATTCAGCCTTGAAAATATAGACCTGGCTCCACCAAACCTGCTAAAGCTCCGTGTCACCATGGCTTCCTACGTGCATCCCTTCCTGTTTGTTTTGGCTCTGATCAAGGTGCAAGATACTGGTATCTGAGGCCCAGCTCTACTGATGGGTTTCCCATCTCAGAGCTGGGCAATGAAGGAATGGATGCTTTTGTCCTTAGAGAACCCAGGTCTAGATGAGGAACGGCTTCTGAGTTGGGGAGCTGCTTTGCAGTATGGAGCTGTGTAGGTCACCCTGCTGTGGACAGATTTTCTTCTATCAGGTAGCATTGTCTTTGAATTGTGGGGAGGCTAGAAAAGGATATGAAGCACTGCAGATGACTCTGTCTTGCATAAGGCATCTTAATTATAATGACTGTCTGCAGTTAGGTCACTGCCTTGGGAGATGAAGCAGGAAGGGGGGAAGTCTCTGCACTTCCACAGCAAACAGCAGTTCCCTCAAATGAGGAGGAGTGCAGCAGAGTGGCAAAGCGCAAGGAACAGAGCCCCAGTAGTTGAAAAGGGGGCTTTGTAGTGGCTGTATCTGTACGTTAAAATAAATCTCTCTTAGCACTAAAATAACATCTGCATTCATTTGGGCTGGTGCCACACTCAGCATTTAAGCAATTTGACAAAACATTGCTTGAGCATGTTGAACTTTGCCAGCTCACAACAAAACAAGAAAGCTACCTTGGCCGCATGGAAACACTTCTTTCGGTTCCCTACTTTCACTCCTGACTCCCATTTTCCGGCTGTACTTGAAAGAAAAAGATTTTGCCCTTTTTTCCAGTGCCAACCACTTAGCCTGGCCCTGAAACGGGAGGCAGATTGCCCCTGGAGGTGGTAGGCTTCAAGAGGAATCTTTTTCTTTTCCCCTAAAGGAAACAGCTAGAGACTCCGCGTTCCTGATAAAGACTTTAATAACTAGAGAAACATTATTTGGGGTGGCCCTCAGGTAGACTAGACATGAATAATGCCTCGTAAAAATAATTACTTCTGCACACAGCACACACACAAGATGAGCTGGGCAGGGGCCCTGTTTCCAGGAGAACCGCAGGCAAAGGAAATCTTCCATCCAGGATCCACAGCCCACAGTCGTCTGTGGCAGGGAGAGTGCTCACTTCTGTGGAGTATGTCCCTGTAAGTCACCTCTGAAGTTTGCGGAGACCTTAACCAACAACACTGGGAGGCTCGCCCGGCTGCTGTTTGCTGCGTTACAGCACAATGAGGAACCGATATGCTTGTTGGGAATGTCGACAAGGGTCCTGATTCCAGAGCAGTCCCCTGTGCTGTGGCCTAGACAGGCGGATGTGATACCAATGGGAGCTGAGGCTAAGGAGCTGGCCACTGAGCCCAAGCTACTTACTCCACAGTTGAGTAACTAGAGTTCCAGAGAGGTTAGGGACTGGCCTGAGATAACCAGAGGCAGCTGCGACAAATTCCAAGTCCAGCTGGGTGGGAACGATCGGATCCGTAGCTGTTGCTTTGCCAGCCGGGCACCCACATCTCCGTTTTGGGGAAGCAGAGCCCTTCCTCTCTCACCCACATCACATTTTCTTTAGGGAGCCACCTGGCCTCCACGCTCAGTCCTCCAGGTTTGCACAGGGTTAGCTCTCTGACCGCCAGGTGTCCCCCCGCATCCTCCCATCCCCTTCACAACACTGCCCTAAGCTCTCACAATGAGAACGACCCCCAGAACTCGAACTCGAAGCCGACGCTTCTATAAAAGAGAGGGCCTCTTTCCCCCGAGTGTACCAGGCTGGCCTTGTGGGTGCTGGGGGCACTGGATGCAGAAGAAGCGGGATAATACAAAAGAAAAGCAAAACAAGAGATCAAGAACACGAGTGACTTTAGCTGAAACTTCAATCCAACTGTACCTGAAACCAGAAGTGGCTTTGGACTTTTGAGTGGCATGAGACAATTAGTTTCCACCAACCTCAAATAATCAAATAATTAGCTTCTTTTAATTCACTGGTTTTGCTGAGGCTAATTGGAGTTTGCTTTTCATCGCCTGCAATGAATGACACCCTGACAGTGACACCCTGACAGATGCAGCTGCAGTTTAGGTTAGTGGCTCTTCCTGGCAGGAACCGGGCAACATGTCTTCATGTTGGAGACCCACCAAAAGCATCTCCACTGAGCCAAATACAATGGCTGGCAATGGCACTCTGTGGCATACAAGCTGCCCTTCTCTGCTTCATGCCATTCACTCTTGAATCCTGATGCTTCTGCTAGGGAGCCCTCACCATCCCCTGAACCAGGCCTATCGTCCACAGTACCTGGCTAGGGGCCATGTGGGGTGCTCATGGTGAAATGTTTGTCCCTTGGTGTAGCACACAGAGGCTGTTCAGCTGCCCTAAGTCACCGAGTTCTGGATAACGAAGAAGGCAAACACAGGCATCCCCACACAAGGGCTGGTTGATCCTCTTTCAGGAGTATTTTCATTTCTTCCCAGGGAAGGGAATCTTCCAGTTTTTACTGAGGTGGGGAGTGAGATGGTACAGTGAGGAGTCACTCAGCTAGATGGGCTCTCAACAGGGCCCCTTAACTTGACCTTGGACTCACGCCAGACCTAAACTTTCCCAGGCACAAAGTTTCCTATCTCACTGTTTAGACAAGACAACCAAGGGCAGTGGGCTGGGGTGGGGCGGGGGGTGGTAGGACTAGAATGCAGTGCAACATGAGATCATAGGAAGGTTTATGAAGGGTGGCATCCAGCTGATCTGTACCAGCTCATTTACAGGAAGTCTGCCTTGCATCGAAGAGGCCAGGTCCACCTTTCCTAAAATCATCCCCACATATGGGTCCAGATTAGAGTTTGCTGATGAGAGGGCTAGTGCTAAATTTAGAAGGCAGCAAAGCGATAGAAGCCACATTGCTCCAGAGGCAACTGCAAACAATGTAAGTTTGAAACACTTCACTTGTATGTTCTTAAGAACCACCTGCTTAGACACTTCCTCATCCAGCTCCTCCTATGTTTCCATGATGCTAAAAGCAGCTACTTCCCAGTGTTCAAGCTTTTCATACTTGGAATACACAACGCAGCTTCTGTTCTCAGGAACAGCTCTGGGCTAATTGAATTGGGACCTCTTATTTTCATGGGGTGCAGCCAGAGCAAAGACTTATGTTGCATGCTGGTAAATCTCAGCTATCTCCACTCTGTAAATCAGCCTGTTCCAGGCAGCAGGCCACAGTGGGGACATCTGGAACTAAGGATGCTGTGCATCTGTGCTACTGTCCCGTAGACATGTGTTACAGGTCCTCCCGCAGGCTTTGGGTGAGTGCCTCGGGGTCCTGTGAAGCCTTGCCCTGCAGTGGTGGCCCAGCTGCGTTCCTGGGACTCCTTTCTCCCTTCCTGGCAAGTCTTCGCTACAGCCTCTTGTGCTTCCTGCCTTCTCTTGGGATTGTATCAGCACAGCCGGGAAGTTCACCCCATTTTTCTGTTTCTCAGTCTGACAAAGTCAAGAGGCAGCACAGCATAAGGGTGGGTTCAGAATCAGAATCCGGCACTCCCACTTACCAGCCATGGAAGGAATTTTAGGCAAGTTATTTAATCTCCCTTGGCTCAGCTTTAAAGCCCTGATGACAAAGTTAGATCAAGCCAAGTGTCTGGCACACAGTAAAAGCTGAGTAATTGTTATCTTCGGTATTATAGTATTTTCCTAGAATGGAAGATCACTTTCCTTACGGGATTCCAGAAAAGATTAATGATGACCCCCCCACCCCCACCCCCACCCCGCCAACCAGAGCGGTAATTTCCATTCCTCACCCCGGTGGGTGACATGTTCCATGTTCTCAGATCTGCAAAGTCCTCTTGGAACTCTATCTTATCCAGCCATCTTGCTCTCCCTCACCAACTGCTCCTACAACAAACCATTCAAATCCTCCTTAAATTGTTGCTGCGTGTAGCAATTAACAGCAAAGGGCTGCTGATTCCCTGCCCTAGGCTCTCTAGGTAACTCTAATCATCTTAAATGCACTATGGTCACAGAGAGATTAATTTTTCACAATGCTTGGCCACTTTTATCAGCACAGTCTTGCAACCACAAATAAAGATCACCCATTGGAGAGCCCTGTGCCTTCAGCATAATCTCAGCTGGGGACTAAGTGGTCCCAGGAACTTCTTAATGAACTACACCCACTTTCAGTGTTGCATTTCTCAGTCTTGATTTTTTCCTTTGTGTCAAGTGTTAAAGAACGGACTGGATTCTGTTCATCCAGGACAGAAGAGTGCAAAGCAGCCTCCTTTCCAGTGTGGACAGAATCCTTGTTCTGCCCAGGTTTTGAGGCTGTTCCCAGGAAGGTACACGTCCCTGTCATTATCTGCCATTCTGAAACAAGGCACTGATGCAAGGGAACTTGCTTTCTTCTTCATTAAATCAATTTTTTCATTTGCCCTCCCCAGTGGAAGGGTCATTCCTGAGTGGCCTTATCTTCTCTCCCACCATTAGGGCTTCCAGACAT